GAAAGGATTTGAGGCTTTGAGGCCTTCTTGTTTGGCAATTATCGAATGGTTGGTCGTTTTAAGGGCTATCGCGCTTCGTTCGAGGTTATGGGATTCAGGGCGGTGGGGTTTGAGTGAACCCATCGCGGGTGGTTTTTTGAAGGGAGTTTAGGGTTTTCGGGCCTTATTGCAGCTCGTTCTTCTTCCGCGCGCGCTTTTGGGCCAGCCAAGTGGTCAGCGCAGGTACATCGTTCAAGCCTTTCCGTGGGTGAACGAGCACATCTGCGGATTCTCCGTTCTCGCGTCTCATTCTGCACTGGAGCTCGCATTTGCAGACATCACGAAGGATGATCTTTTCATGATGACCGTTCGAAGACGATGCCCTAAACACCGAAGCAACTGCCGTCCTGTTTGGGGGCTTAGGGTTTCGGGTTTAGGGGCTTAGGGTTCAGGGTTTAGGGCTTAGGGTTAGGGTTTAGGGTTTAGGGGTTAAGGTTTAGGGTAATAATCACCTACTGCGCAGGGTGTTGGGTGTTCGGTTTCGGGGGCACCAGGGGCTCCTACAAACGTAAACCCTGCCATTCAAGGATGAAGACTGCCCCCACCGGCCTTGAATCATTGAAGGTCTAAGGTTTAGGGTTTAGGGTTTAGGGTTTAGGGTTTAGGGTTTAGGGTTTGGGGCTTATAAAGGGTTTAGGGTTTAGAGCTTAGGGCAAGACCGAAGTGAGACATATACAAGCCCCAGAGTTTTATGAGACATGAAACACCCCTTGAACTTCAAGCCCCTAAACCCTTTCAAGCCCAAACCCCTAACCCCCAACCCCAGACCCCAAACCCCAACCCCAAACCCCAAACCCTAAACCCTAAACCTTGAACAAAAAGTATGTAGCAAGACGAGACATCATGAACATAGTCGCCAAGGTCCAGGGCCCCCGTGAGCATCCCCAAAAAGTGGACGAGCTCATCGAATCTTGGCTGGAGGACTTCGGAGAGGAGCTCGAGGCGCGCAAGGGTTTAGGGTTTAGGGTTTAGGGTTTAGGGTTTAGGGTTTAGGGTTTAGGGTTTAGGGTTTAGGGTTTAGGGTTTAGGGTTTAGGGTTTAGGGTTTAGGGTTTAGGGTTTAGGGTGTCTCCAGACAAAATATGTACAGCAAACCCCCAGAGAAATTGGAACATCAGTCTCATCATACCCCCAGAATTTCTAAAGGGAATCCCAGCTCTAGTCATCCTTACGCCATGTTCCAACTTTCTGGAGGTAACTCCACCTGAAATTACAAAAAGGGTTTCAAAGTACAAGTTCCACATGACCAGGGTAAATTTCAATTCTTTGAAGGACGGCTGCAACAGTAGCGTGGTAGCTTACTCTTTGAGCTTTCTCTCTTGGTAGAAGTTTGGGGGGTCTTGGGGGTTGTTTGGAGGACCCTATGGTGGGTGTTGGGTTTAGGGCTTCAGGTTCCGGAGTAGGACCGACTACAGCGCAGGAGGTGGTGTTGCTTGTGCATGGGCTCCCTCTTCCCTTCGTTAGCCTCGACGTTCCTGGGGCTTAGGGTTCTGGGTTTAGGGTTTAGGGCCCTAAATCCCAAACCCTAAACCCCAAACCCTAAACCCTAAACCCTAAACCCTAAACCCTAAACCCTAAACCCTAAACCCCACACCGGATGCCCTGAACCATCAACTCTCTCAAAATCCACCCTGTAGAGTTGCAGGCCATGACGGATGAGGACTTCCAAAACAATGTGGAGGAGCCTCAGCGGATTTACACATGGGGGTTTAGGGTTTAGGGCTTGCGAAAAGAAGGGACCCACCCAATATAGACCCCAAGTACTTGGGCCCCCTTTTCAATAAGGACCCCAATAAGGTACCCCCTAAATTCGGAAACCCCCCATGCTGCGTTGTGGTGCCAAGGTAGTACAATGGTTGGAGGCTTAGGGTTTAGGGTTTAGGGTTTAGGGTTTAGGGGCTTAGGGTTTAGGGCTTAGGGTTAGGGTTTAGGGTTTAGGGTTTAGGGTTTAGGGCTTAGGGCTTAGGGCTTAGGGTTTAGGGTTTAGGGTAATGTTCCGAGACATGTTGGACTGCAAGGCTTTGGTCAACGAGCGCACGCAGCGATATTCGCGGCTTCTGCAAGAGGCCAGTGGTTCTTTAACACTTGGCCAGTTGTCCAAGAGGTGTCTTTTCCTGTTGCAGGGTCTTGCTCTACAAATCTAGGGATGGCTGTCTGCGGGTCTGCAACTTATCGTTCGGAGGAATGGAGTGCGATTGCTGTGCTGAAATTCAGGGCTCTGCTGGCTGCGTGTGGAATCATGTGGTGTTCACATATAGCTGCAATGCACGGGCACGCTTCAAAGCCTAGCGACGCGGTCGGAACAAAATGCTGCCAATCGGTTTTCAGGCCCCACTAAACCCAAAACTCTAAACCCTAAACCCTAAACCCTACACCCCAAACCCTAAACCCTAACCCTAAACCCTAAACCCTAAACCCTAAACCCTAAACCCTAAACCCTAAACCCTAAACCCTAAACCCTAAACCCTAAACCCTAAACCCTAAACCCTAAACCCTAACCCTCAACCCTCAACCCTCAACCCGCAACCCTCAACCCTCAACCCTCAACCCTAAACCTATGCCTTCTTGGGAGGCCCCCTAGACCTGCAGATTCCTTCATTGCCTACAGGGCGCCAAAAAAACGCCAAGCCCGTCCTAGTCTTGAGACAGGACCATAGTTCTTGCTGCAGCAACTCTATCTCCGGTGAGCTTTATGGCAAGCTTTAGCCCTCAAGCCCCAGAAATAGCGCCTGAAACCCTAAACTCCTACGCTCCTAAAGGTGCATGAACCTGCGGAAGCCTCAAATTGCGATTTCGCAGGTCACCCGACACTGGGCGGAGATTTTGCCTCGGCGCTACAAGCTGCTGGACTTCATCGCCCTGATTCTGTCTGTTTAGGGTTTAGGGCTTAGGGTTGGGGGTTTAGGGTTTAGGATTTAGGGCTTAGGGTATAGGGTTTAGGTTAGGTCGTCATCATGTTACCATTCCTTGCCATGGCCACCCTCGGTTTCTAGGTTTCCTTTCCGCCGCCACTGCTGGCTGGTGAAGACCTGCTGCCGGGCCCTACCCACTTGCAAGAAACTACGGATGCTCAGTGGATTTCTATTCTCGGCTTTGGCATGTCTGGCCCTACCTGACCAGTGGCCACTGAACAGTATGTTGTTTCTTGCACTTGCACAGGTAGGTCCCTCTTCCTCTGCAGAGGAGAGATCACGCCCCCGAGGTCCATATTGTTTTGGGTCCTCATTTTCAGGGTGCGGTACTATGTAGGGGACCAAAAGGGGAGCCTAATTTAGAAACGACCCATATCATAGGAATCCTTCGTAGCTCTTGTAACTCTGCCCCTGAAGAGTCCATGACGTGGTGCCATATGCACCCTAACCCTAAGCCCTAGTCCCAAAACCCTAAACCCTGAACCCTGAACCCTAAATCCTAAAACTCCAAAAACCCTTTAAGCCCGGAGGCGATGCAATTGCCTCGAAGGTTCTAGGTCGTCTACGCCGCAATCCCTAAACCCCAAACCCCAAACCCTAAACCCCTAAACCCTAAACCCTAAACCCTAAACCCGAAACCCGAAACCCTAAACCCTAAACCCTAAACCCTAAACGCCAGGTTCCAGCGTGTGGTGGAGTCCACAGAGGCCCTGAAGGCCGTGAAGAAAGAGGAGGTGGCCGCCTTCTTCAAGGCGCAACGGGTTTAGGGTTTAGGGTTTAGGGTTTAGGGTTTAGGGTTTCGGGTTTAGGGTTTAGGGTTTAGGGTATTTGGGGTATTTGGGGTATTTGGGGTTTAGGGTGTGCGAGGGTTTAGGGTTTAGGGGTTCCGGTTTCGCGTTTAGGGTTTAGGGTTTGGGGTTTGGGGTTTAGGGTTTAGCGTTTCGGGTGTACGAGGGTTTAGGGTTTAGGGGTTAGGGTTTCGGGTTTAGGGTTAGGGTTGCAGGGTTCCAGGGTTGCAGGGTTGCAGGGTTGCAGGGTTGCAGGGTTGAGGGTTCAGGGCTTAGGGTACTTCGTAAGGCGTGTGTTTTCAGGCTCTTGGAGCCCTATGAGCTGCGACGACAGATGAGACTCCCAAACACCTCCTGGACGTTGTGGAAGTAGCAGGACTTGTCATCCGTGCGCCTTGCTCTTTGTTCGTGAGGAGTACCTTGCGAAGGGCGCCCCATCTAGACGGAAGTTGAGCATTCGCGTCCTGGGCACCACGGCAGAGGGGAAGTGCCTTGGTCCGTTTGTGCACGTTGAATGCGCTGTGCTCGAAGGCAGCTATTCGGCTGCTGCTGTCTGGTATGGTGTTTGTCATAGATTCAGTCCGTCAGAGCCACGCGCACCTCATGCAGTAAGTAAAGCGTTGGCCAAACAGGCGAAGCCCACCCTGAAATCGTGTACCGACGTGCTCTTCTACGTCGCAGAAAAATACCATGCTAGAGCTGGGCTTCAACACCCCCTAAACCCTAAACCCTAAACCTTAAACCTTGAGCCCTAAACCCCAAACCCTATAAGCCCTATAAACCCTATAAACCCTATAAACCCTATAAACCCTATAAACCCTATAAACCCTATAAACCCTATAAACCCTATAAACCCTATAACCCTGTAAACCCTAAACCCTAACCCTAAACTCTAAACCCTAGCTATGAGGAAGAGCGATGACATCGGGGAGTCCGACACGGTGCTCACCAACGTCCATGAGCTGCGGGACTTCCACGGCCGCACGGAGTCCTATCCCCCACTCCTCCCTGCGGAGATGCCAGCGATCGCCTGATGCTTCTGAAGGTCTAGGGTTTAGGGTTTAGGGTTTAGGGTTTAGGGTTTAGGGTTTAGGGTTTACGGTTTAGGGTAGCTCGTTAAAAAAACCGGGACCTTCAAGACTCGAAGTTTCCACGACGTGGATCCTCGATGTTTTCATAGCTCCGGACCTCCCAGCCCAGCTGCATGAATCGACCGAAGCTCCTTGACGTCTACGGCAGGCGCCCGACCCGATACAAATTTCGATTCTACACTGTATACTAAACCCTAAACCCAAAACCCTAAACCCTAAACACTGTTTGCGAGTGCTCTTGCTCATGCAGCTGGTGCTGGGTAGTGCTGGGTGCTTCTGAGGGTTTGCAACCTCACGAGCCAGGCCAAACCAATATCACCCCCCGCGTGCGCAGACTGGGCCTGATGAAAACCTGTCGGAGTGGCATCCGCAACCTCGACGCAACGCTCAAGATATCCGATCTAAGCCCCTAACCTGCACCCCAAGCCCTAGTTTCCCAACCCCTAAACCTCTGAAGCTTCAGCTCAACCTTTAACCTAAATACTCACTGAACGCGACTAAGCCCGCTGTGCACCAGAGAAAGACCTACTTGGACCAGCGGTGAAACCCCATTGCACATCCTTCCGAGGCCTCAAAAGCCCGAGAGCACATGTCCAAGGGGGAGCAGGCCACGCACGATCCTCTGGTTGTTCTGGGTTGTCAGGCCTGGTAGGCCTTTGGATTCATGGGCTTCTGATGACTTAGGCTTTCTTATAGGGTTGCTTGAACCTTGAACCCTAAACCCTAAACCCTAAGCCCTAAACCCTAAACCCTAAACCCTAAACCCTAAACCCTAAACCCTAAACCCTAAACCCTAAACCCTAAACCCTATAAACCCTGAACCCTAAAGTTGAAGTTCCGGCCCTGCAGGCTTTGAAGCCATCCTGGATGTCTTTGAAATTTAGCCTCTGCCTCGAAGAGCAGCATCGCGTCCCTGTCCCTACATGCCCCTACAGCATGCACCTATACCTGTAGAAATATATATATATATAGATATATAGATATATCAGGTGGTGTACCAACATATATATATATATATGTTTGTATCTGTATACATATATATATATGCACATGTACATACCATAGAGGCGCATGATGAGATAGTGAGCCTCTCGGGCCGGCAAATACCATCGCCCCCCCGCGAGTAGTGTGCCATGCGCCTTGCAACTCCTTCTGATTCGAAGGGGGTGCAGGGGTTTAGGGTTTAGGGTGTAGGGATTTGGGCTTGGCAGCCCAGCGGCGCCTTTGTTTTCCTTTCTTTGGCTGCCCTGCAAAGTAACCAACCCCAAGAAGCATATCCCTATTATAGCCAAGTGGGGGAAGCTATATAGGGCACATAGATCCTTAAAGGACCAGTCAGAATAGACTTGAGGTCCGGATCACCTGACGGCGTCCATGGAATTCTCGCAGGCAGGGAGCGAACTTTCAAATCTAGCGATGTGGGGTTTACGATAATCAGGGACCCTAAGATCAGTTCGCAGGCTCCCCTTATACTAAGGAGCCCCCACCCCCCCCCCCCCTCCACTTCCCATCCCCTCTCCAACAAAAACACACCCGCTTGACATCATCCACGGGTGGGAGCAACAGCCCATGGTGTTTAGTCGACTTGCCGTACCAGAACAGTTCTCAATATTCGTCCTGACATGGTATGACTGTCGTGCTAGGAAAGTACCCCACGAACCCCAGGCCCTAGAGCCTAAACCCTAAAGCCCCAAAACCCTTAAGCTCTAGGAGGCTTCGTGTTCTAGGTCTCCCTCCCAGCGGCCTGAGAGGCGGCAACCCAGTTTCGGGCGGCCAACATGCTGCAAGAGTCTGTGGGCAGCCCTGTCTCCGATGGTCCGGGTTTTAGGGTTTCAGGGTTTTAGGGTTCTAGGGTTTTAGGGTTCTAGGGTTTTAGGGTTTTAGGGTTATTTTAGGGTTTTAGGGGTTTTGGGGTTAATTAAGGGTTTTAGGGTTAATTTGGGGTTTTTAGTTTTGGGGTTTTGGGGTTTCGGGGTTTTGGGGTTTTGGGCTTTTGGGCTTTTGGGCTTTTGGGCTTTTGGGGTTTTGGGGTGTTGGGGTGTTGGGGTGTTGGGGTTTTGGGGTTTTGGGTTTTTGGGGTTTTGGGGTTTTGGGGTTTCAGGTTCAATGCTTGATGGCTCTCCCGGCATAGCGGCTCCGCATTCCTCTGCAAGGTTCGGTCTTATGGGCCCATGTACTTATGTACTTAGTAGCTGAGTGAGCACACTTTACACTTTTTGCGATACTAGAATCCCCTATAGAACTGAAATTGTACACTCTTTTGGGGCTTATGAACTTATAGCAACTCAGTATAGCATACTGCATACTATACGATCTTTCTGTAGCCATCAGCTCTTCCGGCAACGCGCCGGTCAGTGCAGCTTTCGCACGGCACAAGTCCCCTTCGAATTTTCCCTAGGCCGATGCTTGGGCCAAGTCCGGGGAGATGAAGGCCCAGACCTAAACCCTAAACCCTACACCCTAAACCCTAAACCCTAAACCCTAAACCCTAAACCCTAAACCCTAAACCCTAAACCCTAAACCGAAGCTATGAGAACACTTGAAGATTTAGGGTGTCAGGTGTGGAGCAGAGGTGGCTTCAGGGTTAAGGTCCGGAGTCTGCAGTCTTTGGGCCTTGGCATGTGTCGGTATCAAGGATTTAGTTTAGGGTTTAGGGTTTAGGGCTTAGGGTTTAGGGTTTAGGGTTTAGGGTTTAGGGTTTAGGGTTTAGGGTGTAGGGTTTAAGGTTTAGGGGCCTTTTGGCAGCTGGACTCTCCATCAGGAGCAGCTGCATGACCTCTTTGGCGCTGGCAGGGCGTGCGCCAGCAAAGTCAGTCACATGCCTAGTAGTAGAGTAGGTAACCTTTAACCTTTTTGGGTTAGTAGATCCCCCTTAGAATCCCAAAGGTTAACCTTTAACACCCCGACGTACTGGACAACTAAGCATGTCAATCGCGAACCATACGCTGCCCAGCCTGACAGCGTTTTATACAACAGTGTCTTGAGTGTTTATGTTTATAAACACTATCATCATGACAGCCTTCGATGGGCCTGTCCAGCCTGCTGCAGAGGCCTGCATGTCCTGAAAAAAAAGCCATTCGCCCTGGGAGCCATGTGAGCCCTAAAGGTACGAAAGCGCGGGCAGCATCTGTGATGGAATCGGACCTGGCGGAGCCCAAGCAGCCATGATGCACTGGCAGAAGGCGAGGTAGCAGAGGGCTGTGTATATGTATGTATATATATATATGTATGTATGTGCAGATGTATTGTGTGTCGAGCAACTGGTTCAAGTATGTACGTCTGTATACATATGTGTATATATATATACACATACATATGTTTGTTGTTTGTGTGTGTTTTTCACGTTCGCACCACTTTCCCAGCTTCGAGCGTCGTGGGCAAACTTGTCGCCAGGGTTTGCGGCTTACGGTTTATAGAGGGATCTTTGAGAACTCCCCGGCGGGATGGCGTTGTGCGATATAGCTATGGAGTTTGAGAGACACTTGCCGTGGAACAGGCTGTGCAGTGCTTCCGCATTGCTGGCAAAGCAGATGTGGCAGCAAAGGCAGGGGACTTCCTGTGCTGCGGGGCTTAGGTTTAGGTTATGGGGCTCCGATGTTCAGAACGTATGGTTCCCCAACATATTTCAAGAAGGAGTATTCCTAGGACTCTGGTTTGCTTGGCTTCTCTGTGCCATGTTGTGTAAACAGCCCCGGGACCTGGAAGCATGCTGAATAGCAGACCGCGTGACGTGAGATCTGACTTTCCCCCAACCAGAAATCGCCTAAACCCTCAACCCTAAACCCTAAACCCCACACCCCCAGCACCGCAAATCTCGGTTGGCCTCCTGGAAGCGGTGCAGAGTCTTAATAACATGGTACTCGCAATGTTTGAGACCAGAGCATGATCACAGTCATCTTGTGCAGCTTAAGGGCAGCTAGTCCGATGCCTTCTTTTCCAGCTCTTGCTCAAGATGGCCGGGATCAAGGAAAAGCCGTGCACTTGGTCTCAGGTTTGGGGCTTGTCTTCCGGTCTATTCAGACGGCGTTGCAGGCAGTTCGGACTTGAAAGTCTCCTTGCTAGCGCTCTTGGTCGGGGTTGGGTTTCTCGTATCATGCTCCGTGAAAGATTGCCGTGGCGGGGCCCTTATTCGCCTGCCACGGTCGCGGGGCCACATGATCGGGGTGCGCATGTGACGGGCTTCAATTCCTTTCATTCTTAGTAGTAGAGTAGATAACCTTTAGCCTTTGTGTGGGTATTCTAATCCCGATAGAATCCTCCAAGGTTAACCTTTAGTTTTCTAGGCTGCTGGACAACTAGGCCTGGCAGCAAAGTAAAATCGGCACTGGCTCCAGTCTTGGTCGTGTGCCCTAGGGTTTCGGGTTTAGGGTTTAGGGTTTAGGGTTTAGGGTTTAGGGTCCGACTGGACTGTGCCTCTGGCTTATCTGCCAGCTGGCGTGATACCATGCTGAATCGTCCAAGAAACCAATGCAGGTTCATCAGCCCGTGCTTGGTTTTCGGCTCTACCTAGAGTACCCCGCATCCTCAAAAAGAGGAGTTGTACCTTGCTTCTTGAGTCTTCTTGTCTTCAATCAATCACAGGGGGCATTCTTGGCACGATTCTGGGTTTCGTACACCACGCTCCAACACCAGACCAAGAAGTGTCCAAGAAGTGTTTAGGGTTTAGTGTTAGGGTTTAGGGTTAGGGTTTAGGGTTTAGGGTTTAGGCTTTAGGCTTTAGGGTTTAGGGTTCAGGGTTCAGGGTTTCTTGGTACCCAATCCCAGAAACCTAAGAACCTACAATTCCTGGGTCACGGCCAAGGCAGGGGGACGTCGAAGCTGCGAAGAGCGCCTTCAAGGACGCTGCGTGAGCTTTAGGGTGTAGGGTTTAGGGTTTAGGGTTTAGGGTTTAGGGTTTAGGATTTGATTCTGAACACCCCCTCTTACCTTCCAGGGTTGACAGGGCTTAGGGTTTTATAGTGGCCCTCTCGGCTCATTTGCGTAAAAATGATGCTCTGTATAGAGTAACACGAGGGATAACTTAGGAGCTTCCTAGGTGACCTTTACCCTTTCCCACCGGCCACCGGATTTCTGAGCCCAACGCCATTAGGGTTTAGGGTTTAGGGTTTAGGGTTTAGGGTTTAGGATTTAGGGTTTAGGGTTTAGGGTTTAGGGTTTAGGGCAGCAGGTCTCACGACTGCTCGCTGGGGACTTCGCTGTGCACAAGGGCCCCAGACCCCAAACTCCAAACATTCCGAACTCGAGGATGCCCTCGGCTTGTACGAGGATGAGGAGAAGGCCGGTCGTTTAGGGTTTAGGGTTTAGGGTTTAGGGTTCAGGGTTCAGGGTTTAGGGTTTAGGGTTTAGGGTTTATAAGGGTTTAGGGGTGGTAGTGCACGTCGTGCGCAATTTGAGGCTTTAGGTTGTAGGCGCCGGCGTAGGGTGTACTCGATACCCCTTTAACATGTGGAGTGTCTCTCTGAGAGTGACCCTATTTCCATGGTACAGGCTTCCGCTAGATAGGGTTTGATGCACCCAAAAACCCCAAAATCCCCAAACCAAAAGTTCCACTCCACTCTCTGGGGTGTAGGACTACGAGCTGGGTGACGTGTACAAGACGTCCGGCGCTTGAGCTCTTAAGTGGGGGGGGGGGTTTGGGGTTTAGGGCTCAGGGATGCTCAGTAACTGTGGACCCAAATCCGAAGGACACCATGAGCAGCCAATCCCTTCCCAACGTCAGCTCCTGCCAAGGTACATCGGCTTCCTTATCCGCTCTGGTGCACTGGAGGCATTTTCTTTTTTCGAGGGTGCAGAGTCACGCGACAAGCTCTCTCATCTTGTGATCGGGATGCAAGATCCGCTCTTTCTGGAACATGGCAACACTTGGTGTGAGGATATATATATATATACATATACATATACATATACATATATATATATATACATATATATATACCACTGTAGCCCTCCTCCCTCCCATCTCAAGCGAAGCTTCAGTCTTTCCCTTTGAGGAGGCACTGTCAGCCATGGATGGCCACATCGGGGTGCTCCCTGCAATTCATTGCACTGGCGGTTCCCAGCTGTCATACAGAGGTTAGGTCAGGTAGGGCCCAGATTTAGGGTTATAGTTATAGGGTTTAGGGCAACTTCGCTCCCTCTCTCGCGCTCTCTTGCCCTGCCTCCCTCTCTATCCCTTCCTTCCCTTCCCTCCCTCCCTTCCCTTCCCTCCTTCCCTCCCTCCCTCCGTCCCTCTCTCTCTCTCCGTCTCTCCCACTTGCGTCTCCAAGTCATCTCCTTTCTGTTTGCTACCCTGGCCCTCGCGGCCATTGTTCAAAATGGCCTGGACCCGTCGTCATGCTGCAGCTCTTGCTGGGAGGTACTCAGCAGACTGAAAAGCTTGCCGTTTGCGCACAAGGCACTGGAATGGTTCTGCAGCTGCACTGCCGCAGCTGTGACGTCATGCCTAGTTGCCACAAGCTTGTCTAATGAGTCTAATGTAGTCAGGAGCTCATCAGGCAACACGGCCCAAGTTGCAGCGAGCAGCAACCCCCGACTTGGCTCACAGCTGTGTCAGGAGCTGCTGTCGAAGATTGTCCTGCTGGCGCAGCTGGAGGAACATTGTTTTTTGGGGGGATGACCTTCGTCTGTGGGAGGTGAACCGATGACTTGTCTGCCCAGTGCGAAATGTTTTGTGTCGGTTGGGGATTCTTGCATGGGACCGCCACGCGACGCTCATCGATTTCATCGAATGTCGGCCCAACCCTCAGACCTGCAGGACACTGTTCGAGCAGACGAAATTCTGAATGCGGCCCAAGTGGAGGGCCTTGACCTCAGAATATGGGTCCTACTCTGGCATTTGTTTTAATTCTGCTTGGTTCTTCCGTTGGTGCATGATCGCGGCTGCGCCCTGTCTTGAGAGTAAGAACTATGCCCCTTCGCTTGGCATCTTCATGACTCAGATCGATGATGCGAGCTGAATTGTTCAGTCAGACGATCAACAAGCCTTGCGAAGACACAGTCTCAGTGGTAGTAGCACTATAGCTAGGACAGCTAGGACTCAAGCAGAGGCTGTGAACTGTGCACTTGGTGGCTATCCGGGCTTTTCCGGGCAGTTGACCGGACCACACCATGGCCCAGGGGTTGGCCACAACCGCATTACTCAGCGAGGAGCAGCAGAAGCTGGCGAAAGCCGCCGCTTCGGTGTACGACCTTCGGGTGGACTCAGATGCCGTGCCTTGGGGAATGAACCCGAAAATTGGGGGTCATATACCCTATACTACTATAATTCCCTATTAAGGTCTATGAACCATAAGCCCTTTCAGGGTTCATTCCGTCCCCCAGGTGGTGGACTCGATGTATGCATCCGCGTGCCAGTTTAGCGACCCCCTGGTTCTGGTCTCGGGCCCGGCCCACGTGAAGGCCCAGTTCCGCTCCTTACGGATGCTCTTCCGGGAGATTGATTTCCAGGTTGAGGGAGTTGGCCTTCTGGGTGAGAAGGTGGTGATCGAAGCCTCCGTCACATACGTGCCGAAGAGAATGCCAAGGGCCTGTGCTGTGCGCCTTAAGCAGTTCACAACCCTCACGTCGACTGCCGGGCGCGTTCTCTTGCACGAAGACCACTGGTCAATTCATGGCGTCCTCGTGGCCATCACAGGGCTCGGCTGGCTGTACCAAGGTTGGCGTAAGGCTTTGGGCACCGCATCCAGTGTGGCCGTGGACCTGATTTCATGCCCGAAGCGCAAGGGATCGTAAGACCTCGGGATTTGCAAGCGCAAAAAGGCGCGCAGCAGCCTTTCGTTGGGGAGCTGCCTGGCTGGTCCAGACTACTTACACACTAGTGTGCCGGGCAATTGGGATGCGGGTGCCAGGAAGTCCTTGCTCTGTCACCGCTGGCTCATGTGCGTGGTCTTCAAGCTGAGAGAAACCTCTCCCATCATCCGAGTGCAAGTCAGAGAGTTCCATTTCTTGGGCATAGCCCCGATGCTCATGAAGCCCCACACAAGTGATGGTAGAGGGATGCACGCTCGTCATCAACAACCACAGACCCACACAAACCCCTTATCAAGCCTTGTAGTTGGCTGAGGCTGGTTCACCTCAAGAGAATGCCAGGCCCGATCTGATGACAAAGATGAGGGTTCATCCGATGATTTAGGGGGGAGGATACAAAAGTTTAAGGGTTCATTGGGGTCTAGAACGGTTGCCGGGGTTAACTCGCCTCTTGCCTTCTTTCTAGGCTTCATGGAGTTAGTCCTTTTCCTGGAGCTTTCGCAACTTCCCACCAGCACTCGCGTGGCACTCCCTTCACCTTCGTACCCGAAACCCTGAAGTTTACTTCTACCATCCTAGATATAAGCTTAAAGGCCAATACGCAAATCCCTCCCCCGCCTCCCCCTCTTGACCTCCCCCCCCAAAACCTGCGAATCTCCCGAAGTCCTCACCTGGCTACTCGGCTGGAGGTTGGATGTGATCTGGTCGAGGCGCTGAAAAACCACGACGCAGAAGCACTTGCTGGCCTGCAGATTCTCGGCACCGCCGTGAAGAAGCATTAATTTAGGGGCTTTCGAGTTTACAGGGCTTTTCTGCGGCTTGAAATGACTCTTTGGGGTTAAGAGTTTTTAGGGCTTTCGGGTTTAGGGTTTAGGGTTTAGGGCTTATACGGGATCATCGTATAGGGATCAGTGACAGGGCCGGATCGTTGTGGGTTTTGGGAGCGTGCTGCGGGTGCCCCCCAGGAGTGTTTGTGAACCCGAAAGCTCTGGGAGTTCTAGAACTCCAGAAGCTAGGGTTTAGGGTTAAGTTTCGGGTTCAGGGGTTAGGGTTTAGAGGTCTCAAAACCCTAAAGCCCTCTCATCTTTCTGAAAAAAGCAGGGTGACGCCGCATTGTTCCGCGGTAGCAGACACACTTCCTCTGAGTTGGGGTGTAAGGAGCTTTTGATTTATTTGCTCTCATGTTTGGGGGAGCTGTTAGAGCATGTAGGGTTTACAGTTTGGTTTGAAGCTATAAAACCGAACCCCTCAACCCTAAACCCCAAACCCCAAACCCCAAACCCTAAACCCTAAACGCCCTCAACCCTAAACCCCTGCAATCTGAGGAAAGACCAGATTTTCACATTTCTGCAGATCGAGGCAGGGTGCACACTTGAACTGTTGCTCCCCGCTCCCCTTTCCCAAACAGCCCTAAGCCTAAAACCCCAAACCTACAAACCTAAACCTAAAACCCCTAAACCTAAGCCCTAAGCCCCTAAGCCCTAAGCCCTAAACCCTAAACCCTAAACCCTAAACCCTAAACCCTAAACCCTAAACCCTAAACCCTAAACCCTAAACCCTAAACCCTACCCCAAGGTGCTGGTTGCATCCTCCCAGCCCTGAAACACAAACCCTGGGATGCCAGAGCCTGGTGCAGGTTGCCCGAATCGTGAGGCAGTTGAAGGCTCGTCCTATGTCACATGGGGGGTTTTCGGGTTTAGGGTTTAGGGTTTAGGGTTTGGGGTTTGGGGTTGAGGGTTGAGGGCTTATTGTTTAGGGTTTATTGGTGAGTGTCTATTAGGTTCCCTTTTAATCTTCTTGAGTGTACTGGCTGGGTGTCCATTTAGGGCTGTTCCCCCTTGTACTAACAGTCCTTAATAGGGATTATAGTACCCCCCCCCCCCCATTCTAATCCCTATCAAGGACTCAGGGCTGTTAGTATAAGGGGCAACATCCCGCCGCCTGAAGTACAAGAATAACATAGGGGCCTTCATATTTCGGGGTGAATTTATATGGGGATCCCAAAGGGAATAGTATTAGGTAATTATTCCGACCCCTAGAGACATAGTTGCCCGAAGAGTGACGTCGCAGGTTGCAGCACTTGCACCACAGGAAGAAGGGGGCCGGGCGCCCAGCTGCCATACAACGAAGCTCTTGCTTCTCATCTTCCCCCAGATCTTCCAAAAATCCTTTTATTTAAGGAATTTTATAGTAAGGGTCCCTATTATGAATTAGGGTATATTCCTTAATTTAGGGGTTTTGGAAGGCCTGGGTGGCAGTTCTGAGTAGTTCCTCTAACAGAGCATCCACTGATATGACATGTAGAAACAATGGTGGCTCACACAGTTGGCACAATCTATTAGCATATAGACTATTGCAAATCACAGCTTTTGTGACAGCTGACGACCCAGGATCGCTAAAGATTAGAAAGCTTCTCAGGCAGTCCTCAAGAAGCCGTCGACCCAGCCGACCTTTTGATGTGAGCCGGAATGAGGCTGCAACCAATTGTCGATCCTCAGTGGGGGCGGCTTGAATCTCACTTGGCTTTCACATCGTTGAGTGATGCCGCACATCCCTGTATACGTATATATGTATATGTACATGTTGTCTACTTATATGTCAGTATAGATAGTATTTCCATATACGATGGTAGATTCTTTATACTACACATGTATGTATATGTATATGTATATGTATATGTATATGTATATGTATATGTATATGTATATGTATCTGTATATGTATATATATATATGTATATATATATATGTATATATAAATACACATATATATATACATACATATATATTTGACTGAAGGTAGGCGTCGCAACCGCGCCTCGTCATAGCATGTCGGCCCCTGTCGCTTCACACGAAGCGCTGTTGAGACCGTCATTACGAGACTCTAAGTGGTTGTTGTGCAGTGCTAAAGGTTGGGGCCTATGATGCAGTTACCCTAAACCCTAAACCCTGAACCCCTGAACCCCTACACAGTCGAAGTCGGTGCTGCGATGAGAACAATCGAACATCAACATGGACACCTGCAGTCTTAGTCTTTGTGCCCCCCCAAAAAAACACTTACGTTTTCAAGCGGGAAGTGATTCCAAGCCGGCCCCACAATGCGAGATGTGTCGCTGGATGCGCTGCAGAAGACGGCCCGCAAAATCCGGATCAAGAGCTGTGGAAGCTAGCGCCGTCCGTGAGCATGGCAGCCTTCCTGTGCCAGGGCTTTAGATGACTCAGTCACCTGAGCCCTAAACCCTAAATCCTTAACCCTAAACCCTAAACCCTGAACCCTGCTTTTTGCGGGCGCGCATCGGCTCGAGGACGCGTCGGTGACAGTGTTGGCTCGCGCATGCGAAGGATGGCCTGCGGTGTACAGATCCTGCAAGATTCCACCGCGGCGGAGACAAAACAGCAGGAAGACCAACCACTGCACACTGAACCCTGAACCCTGAACCCTGAACCCTACTCTGTCTGCCACGCACGAGGAGACACATGAGACCACCAGCTGCTCCCCAACTACAGTGACCCACATGTCTTTTACAACAGTGTGTAAAGGGCTTATACACAAATCTAAATACATATATATAGAGACAAATATAAATATAAATATAAATATATATATATATATATATATATATCGATGTATATACACACATATATATATATATGTAAATATATATATATATATATATATATATATATATATATATATATTATAGGTATATATCACTTTCTACATGCGCACACCCGAAGGTGTCCCTGTACCTACAGAGTCCAGACTTTGGCCATAGACAGCTTCCCTTTTTACAGCTTGAGACCCCCACCAAGCATCATGCAGTATATAGGTACGTGGACCCTTCCGGATACATACATCTACCCCTAAGGATCCATGTAGGCAGATATTACAAACTTGGGCCTTAAAGGGGTTCCCATGTAGTAGCTTGTTGAGGGCCCAAGTACATACTAGAAAGGTACATGGACCCTCAGGGTACATACCCAACAATAGTTGTGGAAAAGTTGCCCTTGAGAACGATAACCTAGCCATCCCCTCGCAGGCAACCGATGGGCGGCCCCCAACAAGCTCGGCTGTCCCAACGAGCCCACTCTGACATGGGTTTAGGATTCAGGGTTTAGGGATGAGGGTTTAGGGTTTACAGTGGTTTAGGGTCAAAAAAGTTAGTCGACTCGCACATCCTTCTGGTGCCCAACCTGGAGCCAATTTTGCAGGGAAGTCCGAGAACATATTTATAAACCTTAAACCAAACACGAACCCCCCCCCCCCCCCCCCCCCCCCCCCCCCCCCCCTACCCGAAAAGACCCAAAACAGACCACGAAGCCCAGGTTACCGAGGAAGCCTTGTAAATTACGCCCCCCAAATCTGAAGCCCTCCAAATCCGAGTGACACAGCTTGACAGCCCCCAAGGCAACCTCGCCACCGTTTACCTTTGGGTGGTTGCGGCGAACCCTGAACCCTCTCCAACTTGGAACCGAAAAAGGCTCGGCACCTCGAACATGCATCCGATCGGTAGTTGTGAGGGGCTTCCCTGCTTCTGAATTGCCGCAACCCTGTCGCGCTTGACCGGTACGTCTCTACTATGAAAAATCCAAAGACAGCTTGCAGTCAACTTGCATGATGTCCATGTCATTGGGCTGGACATGCGCGTAGGCACCGAGCCCGTTGTGCTCAAACTGCTCTTTTCGAGCAGGCTTGTCAAAGTTTGAGTTGACTTTTTCCAGTCTTGCGTACAATCAACCCTAAACCCTAAACCCTAAACCTTAAGGGTCATCGGCCCACGCCCGCAGGACATTACGTACTGGTTTGAAGTCCGAAGCTCCACACCAAAGGTGGTAGAGCTCTTAGCTTCCCGCTGATCCCACGGACCCTACACAGCCCCAAAACGTGATGACCATGGTTCTGAGAGACCCTCAAAGTACCCCCACACACGAAACTAAACCCTAAACCCTAAACCCTTATAAGCCCTAAGCCCTAAACCCTAAGCA